TCCAGGCAATACCATGCAAAGAATATCAGTCTAAGGTTGTTGTATTATCAAAATCATCTCCATGATATACCAGAAATTGATTGACACATTTATACAAACACCTGCAAAATTTCATTCTGATTTTGATAGTTTGTTTTATTTTGATCCAAATTCAAAAGGAAAGAAGACCTCTCCAAACCTCAACAAATAGAGAAACTTGCAGATACCCTTTGTTGAATGACATAATGAGCTCACATATCAGTTTACTCCTTCTTCTCCTCAAGTCTGACTTTGAAGGTGCAATAATGTATATAAGATCTCAGTTCAATTTGATCAATTAGAATTTGATTTTCTGCTTTTCAAGATTTTGATCAAAAGATACCGCAGATTACTTAAGAAGATGCAATCTTCAACCCTTCTTGGTTTTACCACAAAAATATCTGCAATCACAGCATGAAATACCAAAATGTGATCAAAATTGCAGAGATATGAATAAACTACAGAGGGGAAAGTATGATTTAAATGTTAGGCAATGAGCTGATGAGATAAAATAGTATGTTGCAAAAGGTTATTGATACACCTGAGAGAACTGCTTCCCTATAAATTGGATGATGAGTATCAACAGTCACTGCCATGCATGCTCTGGGCGTATGACAGACAGTACCCAAAAGCACAACAGTACTATGATTTCCAGGATACGGGGTGGTGATCAATTTAAGGGATCAATCAAAAAAATTATATTTAGTAGTTTACCAGTTTATTAGAAAGATTTAGCAGGACAGGAAATTCAAAATGGAGGTTTTTGGATCAATTGAAGCTCTTATGGGCTTATGTGTTGGTCATTGGGTTAAAATTACATCATTTTATTTCACATTACTTATTAAGATCATTATAATTCATTCACAAACTCATTACAAAAAGAAAGAAAGAAAAAACAAAAGAAAAATTTGAAAATATAGGTATATAGGTTGGAAAATGGTTTTTAGGGTAGTAAAACTAAAGTTATGGGTATTATGAGGTTAGAATATGAAAGAACAACATTATATTATCCTTTGACAATTTTAATCTTGAAGGTTGATAAGAAGAAACAGAAGTTATTAGGGAAAAGGTACTTTTTTGAAGTTGGTAAACAAGAGGTACACATGTAATTTGGTTATGTAACAGTGGTATTAGTAATGAATAAGGTTGCCAAGAGGATTTTCCGGGATTTTTTAGGTTATAGGAAATGATGTCGCATTACATGAGCAAGAAAAAGAGAGTAGCAGCTGTGAAAAGTGAAGAAAATGGGTGAATTTTGTCAAAAATGAAGGTTTTCAGCTCATTACATATGTCAAATGACGTCAGATTAGTCTGATAGATCGCTCATTCAACGCATAAGAGTCGATTACATAATGTACAAACTTTAAACCAATAGTAGCGGAGGTGTTTGTAAAAATGTATAAGGCAAATAAAGAATTGGTGTGAATCTCGAATTTACAGTCACAAGTCAACATGTAATGCTAAAAACCTTAACTTCACAACTCAATATCTTACTCATCACTCATCAGAAATAGGTCATATGGGTGTCATAAATGATCAGTAACACGAGGGCTACAAGATTCACTTTAGTAATCAAAAATTGGAGCACATCTGAAAAAATTTGTAATCTCAAAATTTGGTTTTCAGCTAGTTTACGGGGTAGGAGATTTTTACACCGGGTGCTTTACACTGACCATCCCAGTGTAAAGCTCGGCCGGTGTAAAATTCAAAAAAGGGCTTGTAATGTAGAATTTTACACAGCCTTAATTTTTTTCTGGGCCGTGTAAATAATTACAGTGTTTGAATGTCGGTGTAAAAATACGGTAGCCGGCCGTGAACTGGAAATTTACACAGGAATTTTTACACAGAAAGACACAGTGTAATAATTTACAGTGTTAAAATCCGGACTCCGGCCGAAGCTTTGAATTTTGCACTGGGCCGGGTAACACTGACCCTTTTCGGTGCAAAGTTCCCTGTGCCAAATTACCAATGTGAGTCCCAATTTATAATTTTACACCGCAAAGAAATTTATTTTACACCACACATGTTTCATGCAAGGTCAAACCATGGAAGTTCATTCCCATGACGAACAAACAAGGAGAAGATACCTCGAATACTTACATATCAGGAACCAAACAAACAGACAGATATCCACATCGATCTTCCCCACACATCCGTGAGACCGGACAATGGATGATATATTGTGAAGTTGATTCCATATCGATCAACTTCACAATATATTGATGAAACTTTTGTCTTTCTATCGCCCAAAGAGGTGCTTTCAAGCACGATTCTTACCCAATTCCTCAACTTTTTCATTAATCAAGTTGAAAGACGAGACCTGTTTGAATCAGGTTGGTTCTAAATCGAAGATGGGTCATTCGGCCTCACACTATGATGGTGCCTTTGGAAATGAAGAAACTTCGGAAAGGAGTTCCTCTCCAGGCTTTACTCTTTGCAAACCAGACGCACAATATTCCTGGAAAGAAGATACTATTTCATCTCAAAACCATCCTTGCAAAGAAGAATTACCTTATTCTTTCGATTCCACATTTGTAAACTGTCGATACGTTGCTTCTTCATCCTCGACGGTGTCACCTACTTCCACTTCAGTATCAAGCTGCGCCATCACAGCTTCTCCATCTAAATATTCTGCTGCATCCCGTGATTCTTCCCCTTCTCCTTCTTTACATCTGGAAATGATAGAGATAACGTCGTCGCCAGTTCCTGGATCTCCTAAGGATCATGATGACACACTGGCCAACCTACCACGCCGTCCTAACCTCCAACTGCCTACCAATAAAAATATATATAAGACTTTTATTGATCATGGTTGCGATCTCGACGAGGAAGACTATCCGACATACCCAAACGGTGAAACCATCTATGTCAATGACCCCGAACATCCCGCCACGAACTTTTGATTTATTGCTTGGACTCATACTATGCGATCAGAAACCACAAAGAAAAAGGATTGGATTACAAGAAGGTATTACTGTTTGGGTGTCATCAAATGCACCAACAGCAATTGTCCTTTGGCTGGCTCTCCACCAACTTCGGGCAAAAAATTAGCCGAGATTTCAGAAGGGTGAGTCTAATATTTGACTCTTCACACCCAGTTAGTTGAACTTGGCTAACGGTCAATATGACTCTTCACCAGAGTTAAAAATTGTCCCATATCTACATGCGATGGCTATCAACAACATGTGAAATGTGACGCCAAATGTCGTATTGATACCAAGTTAGATGCTCAAGAGAAGGAAGGCTGGGCTTTACTTCGTCACCAAGGTACTCATTATCATGAGTGGCCCGAGGCCAAGAAGGCCAATCCTATCTCAAAAGATAAGTTGAAGGAGCGTGTCATCAATGACACAAAGACAGGGCCTATAGGATTAAAGGTATGTAATGTCAAGTTCATCCTTTATGATGTGGCCATTGAACAAATGTATAATTGTTCATCTATCAGGTCGGACAGGCGCATGTGGGTAAAGATCCAATTCGATCAGTAACCGATTTTCATCCATCATTTGGACATGCTGATTGTCTCGGCTACCTGCGACGTGATTTTCGACAAAAGGCGGGGATAATGACTAACACCCGAGACCCTGAATCTTGAGACAAGTGTCTTTGCACCATGATGGATTGGTCAAGGTATAATGATTTTTTCTGTAACAATTCGAGAAATGTCTCTGATATTATGATTGATTTTGTTTATTAGGAAAGGACTCATTGTTGTTTCTTCTTCCATTTCTGGGGCTGACGCGCACATCTCATTCCAAACTCCTTGGATGGCGGAGGTGTTGGTCGAACCCGATGACCGATCAGACACCTATACCGGTGGTCTTCTCTCTGACATAACTTATCGATTTTTTAAAATGGGTTATCTATTAACAACTTCAAAGTATTGTGAAACCATCAAGCGATGGGTGCCCGTCTTGTTCACATGGCTTGGCGGCCTTGAGGCGCTACACTACAAGATACACTTCAAAAACTTACTGCAACAAATTCAAAAAACTAACATGTCAGAGAAGAGTAAAAATATGATGGTAGAACAAGTTGTAGATTTTTCACTAGCTCAAAAAGTCGGATTTCAAGAAGCCTACATGGAAGTTTTTAATTGCAACAATAAGAACACAGCTTTATCTAAGTTACATGGATGTGAATGGCATTTTCTGCAGGCCGTTACACGTATTAAGAAGAATCATAAGATTGTCAAGTTAAAACAGGTGGTCAGTCTTTCTTCAGAAACTTATTAATTGTAAGTATCTTTCACACTGACAGTTTGTATGTTTTTTTTCAATTGCTATACCAAAAGGGCATGTGGGAGAAGAAATGCAAAAACTTACTTCTTCCTGACGGACCTGGTGTAGACAACCTTGACACCCGATTTGAGGAATTGCGGCGATTATTCCCACTGGCCAAGAAATGGATCGAATGGTGGAGTGCAGCAGACATCCAATCCATGCTTTTCCCTGCCCGAAAACGAAAACCTCTTGATGATCCACCCTTGCCTGGCGAAGAAAGTGATGACGAATCTGATGGACCTCGAAGACGGGCGGATTTACCTTCAACCACGAATGGACAGGAATCCATGCATCGCGTGTATTACATCTTGTGGTAAGTTTTTGGTATAATTAGTTCCATTTTATTAGGCAAAGTGGCTGATGAAGTGGTGGTTATGCGTATTTAGTGATGGTAAATGTGAGATTATACCGGGTATAATCCAACTGATTGCCTTTGCTCAGTGTATGGAAAAGGACTATCAATCGGTGAAGAAAGGTGTTTCCATTACTTATGGAAACACTTTGCAAGACACCTGGCAACAAGTCGTCAAAGCCATTGGGATGGCACCACCCACGAAACGGAAATTCACTCGTAATGATGGACGTGCCCCTGACACTACGGAAGAGCTCCTGGGAAACAAATCAAAAAAAAAGGATCACCCAAAGAAACTCGGTCGTCCCATTGGCTCTCAGAATATCAATAGAAACCCACTAACTACGTATCAATCTTATTCTTCTGGCAATACACCTGGAACTCGAAATAGATGTTGGCAAACAGCATCACTTGAGACGCTATATGCAATCTTCAACCTTACTTGGAGTCGATATTTAACAGTAAACAGCACCAACTTAGTGAATGTGCTTGCACGGCATTTCACCGCTCGATGCACCTTTGAAATCACTGGTTTAAAGTTTGCCACCAGTATGACAAGGTGGCAAACTTTGTTACATAAAGCTATTCAAGCAACTTCGAAATCTTACGAGGACGACAAATTCGCATCCGCTGACGGGTTCATTGAGCAATTACTAGCCCCAGTAAACGACAGAAAATCAACTCTCAGGCCCCTTTTTGAACACACAATGATCAAGACTGTGGCCTGTCCTCGCAATCCAGAGCATACAACCATCAATTCTCAACGTCGAGCAACCCTTCATGTCATTCCAGCCACCTTTACCAATGCCTCATTATCATATTCTGAAGTACCGCTATTGATTTCGAGATGGATGTCCGATGGTCTCAGCACGGAAGGCATATTATGCGGTCAATGCCATCCTGAAAAGAACCGTAAGGCCGGTGTCAGCGTCAAAAATCCGTCCTTTGTTCAAAATAACTTCAAGATCGAAATCACGGACCCTCTTTTGGCCCCGCTCCATCTTTACTTTCAAGTTGACGGCATTGTAGGTTTGAGTCCTACAGAGCGCGAACGCTACCAAGGAGAAACCAACTGGCCAGCTCGATTTAAGGCGGGTACAGTTGATTACTTTTTGGTTTCGCGTGGTTACTGGGCAAATTACCATTATTGGGCAAGAGTGGTTCGCTCAATTGACGGAATACTTGGTGTATGGCTTTATGACGAACGGGAAAATGGAGGGATAGCCCAGCTGGAAGGTGCCGATATTACCAGCATAGGTGGATGTTCTCCGGACACCAGCTGGTTGTTCTACTCGCGGAAGCCACAGGGAGAGGAATTAGACCAAATCAAGGCTTCTATACAATCTCTTTTGGACAGCTTTCCTGAAAATACCTCCAAGATTCCCTTCTCCATGCCGAGTCATAATTTCCCATTTGGAGGCCAGCTCACCGAAGACAACGAATGGCTTCCATCGCCTGAACGCACTACAACGGACGATACCAATCTTGACATTGATTTCAACCAGCCGTTGGAAGCTAGTATGTCTTCCGAGGAGGAAGACATCACCGTGGTCCCTCAAGACACTGTTGCCACGACGAAGATATCAGGTACGTCTATAGTATTCACTCTTCTCATCCGATACGCTGCTGGTGTGTAACATTTAACTTGATATATTGTCACATTTATCGGAAAGATTCGTAAGGCCAAATCCGAAGTTGCTGTTAAGGGTAACAAGTAGGTGACGAAGGTGACCAAACCTAAATCCCAAGTAGCAAGCAAGGGTGCCAAAGACGTGACAAAAGCGAAGACAGGTATGTCATCTATATTCAAAAAAATCTACGTCTTGATTGCTAACCAAAACATTGATTTTTGCTTTCTGAAATATAGGCAATTGGAAAGGATGGGCTCTGGTGGAAGATGTGCCCATCAAAGAGGAGGTAGGAGCGGAATTAGAACCCAGGGCTAAGCGACACCGACGTGGCTGACATACAAGATCATTCAAATATCGTGTTTTTATTGTTTTTATTGTTTCCTTTTTTCCAATTGAATGGCGGTGTTATTTTTTGGCGGACTGTGTAAAATTGCACTTTGTCCATGCTGAATTGCATTTTTACACTGTGCTTTTTTACACAACTTAGCTCGGTGTGAACAGCGCCGGTGTAAAATTCTAATTTTCGGGCGTGAGGTTGAATTTTACACTGGCATTCGTAGCACCGGGGTTTCCGGTGTAAAAATTGATGTGTAAAATTCAACTTCACGGCCGGCTACCGTATTTTTACACCGACATTCAAACACTGGAATTATTTACACGGCCCAGAAAAAAATTAAGCCTGTGTAAAATTCTACATTACAAGCCTTTTTTCGAATTTTACACCGGCCAGGCTTTACACTGGGGTAGGCGGTGTAAAGCACCCTGTGCAAAATTCTACCTCCCCCTAGTTTACAAGGAAAAAAATCACCTGTATTCATCATAAGAAGTGCTGTAGGACCCTGGAATACCCCTATGGAGGTGGGTGACGAAAAAGGTGCTTTTTCGGGGGCAAAACTCGACTATGTGAGTGTCCAAAAAGTGGGTTTTTTGCCATTTTCTGCCCAAATGTGCGTGACGTAAAAGTGGAGTTTTGCGGTGTGAGATCTTGATGTAAGTGACGTGAAAGGTGAGTTTTTGACCTGCCAGGGTTAGGTTTTATTACGCCCATGCTCCAATATGTTCTGTTCTGTTCTGTTCTGAGCCTCTCAGAAACTCTAAAGTTTAACCTTCCAGAGATCCACAGCACCTCAAACCGACTAAAACCGCATACAAGCAGCACATATTCCGCATATTCCGCAAATCCTTATATCAAACCTTATCAAACTGTTCAAAGCTTATTTGTCAAGATGTTGTCGACTGAAAAAATCCTCCAAAAGATTCTCAATCTGTGTGATAACTGCCCCGGACTTCGAGAAGGGACTCGCCACGATTTGATCTTCAAAGCATTCTCAAACGCTCCAGTTGCTAACAACGACGGGATGTGGCCATCAGTAAACACAACTCTTGATGCCGCATTTGGTAAAGATTGTGTTGTACAAAATATATCAAAAGGGCCCTTGGGGCTTCCGATGGTGGTTGATTGGGTCCGAAAAGCTGAAAAGCATCCCACATGGGACCTTAATGCTGAAATGCTTATCAACATCAAGCTGGATAACATTGTAACTGCGCTCAAAGGTGAATATTTCACATTTTTTGCATGTGAAACAACAAAGTGAGACTGATTCAAGTGTGATTCTCAAGCTGCGGGGGCTGAAGACCAATCCGATCCAAAGCTCAGCAACAAGCGCCGATTAGTATTCGACCCAGAGACGTCCAACGAAACTAGGCCTCCAGTCAAGCAACCCAGAACGGCGTGTCCTGACAAATCAACTGCCATCGAATCCAATGTCATCATCTTGTCCTCTGACGATGAAAGTAATGTGCAGAAAATTCAAGGTTCCAAGAATCAAAAGCATCATACGAAGAACACAAATGTAATCAAATTATGTCCATTATCCTGACCAGGCAATGACTGTAAGCGATGCAAGGTGGAGAAAAGTCCTGGTGGTAAAAATCTTTCATGTCATTGTGGTGCAAAAACAATCTGGCTTGGCAAGGGTCGTGTTAGATCAGCAGAAGCTCACTGGGCCACTGGTAAGTTGATCAGACAATTTTTACTCTATGTCAATCTTGATCCTAAGTCTAATGTACAAAAAAATCGTGACAGATATTTGCAAAGACAAGACAAAAAACCTCAAGAACAATACTCAGTTAACTTCTTATTTCAAAAGTACAACGGCCCCCAATCCTAATAATTTGATCTCGGTGGCTTGTCCGGGACTCAACGACGAAACATGGGAAAGACCAAAAGCTACACAATCAATTGCCGAATTTCTCTCCAAGACCTTCAGCATCTATCGTGGAAACCACCAACATGAAATATGCAGGGAGATTTTTGGACAGGACGCTCAAGAGCATAAGTTGACAAAGGAACAAAAATCTCAATTGATTGCGACGTTAGACGCTCGATCGAAATGGCAAGTCAAGAGGCACGGAGAGCGGAGTGCGATCTACTCGAGTGACTGCAAAAGGACATTTGTTTGTAAGAAAACCGACAAGAACCCTGTATGTAGCGCTTGTCAAGAAATCAAGGAGCTCCGTAGCTTGTTAAAAGCTCTCAATGTGAAGTATGCGGAAGATGATGATATGAAGTATTCTCGAAATAACTATATGTCCGATAACAACAACGCCTTTTCGCCCACAGCGTTGAAATTATCTGATTGTCGCCTCCTCAAAACTTCAATTGAAAGTGCTTCAAAAGGTGATTTTTCCAATTTTATGACGGTTGTTGCTGCCTCGTCTCGGAATGCCTGTTTGAAAATCGTGATGTGACACGTGGTATGATCAAGGCTGTTGCCATTAAGGCTGACCGCGAAAACGCTGGAAAGTCCATTCGAGGAATGAGGATTGACTCGTGCTTGACGAATTTGTGATGGCTCTAGGGTGCAATCAGCCCACGCGCTCTAAGTCTTTTCAACGACAACTTTGCAGGTCGTACGACTCGCAGTCCTACGAATGATACGAGCAAAAGAAGGTTTTCATCTAGATGACAGCCTTCACATTACCAATTTTACTCGAATTGCTCAAGTTCTGAAGGATCTTGGCTATTCGGGTCCGATTGCAGCTGCGTCTGATCAAACTGTCTGTGTCAAGCGTCTTCGCCATTATAATGGCTTTTTGGTAGGAGCTCAAGGAGGCGATATCCCTTTCAGCAATGCTTCTGAGCTTCCTGAACTTGTGAAATCAGTTTTCAAGAACAAACAGCTCTGCTCCAAAGTAAGTCATGCTTTGCTTCGCTTCATTATCTAAACCTTTTTTGACATTTATATTCAACTGTCACTTATCCAGATTTGAGCTTATACTATTCAAGTCCCATTACCTAATGTCCCAACATTCATAGTGGCATTAATTGCTAGTTGCGATAAGGAGACATCGAACGATATATTAGAAGGACACAAGAAGTTCCTGGAATTATCTCGCGAAGCAGGGATCAATATCCTTTCGATTGGTGCAGATGGTGCACCACCCGAACTTTCTGCTCAAGCTTCACTTGTTGATACAGCCACCCAATACTTTACTTACTCAAACTCAACTTACGATGTCCATATTAAGCTCCCTCTCGTTGGCCATCCTCCACGACCTGTGGTTATGGTTCAAGACCCTAAACATGCTCGTAAAACAAGTGCAAATCAGTTAGCCTCCGGAGCTCGTCTGCTCACGATTGGAAACTATCACATCTCAATACAACAACTTGCAGCAATCCTCCAGTCGGGCCGCAGTCTACTTCTTCATAGGGATGTATTCGACTGCGACAAGCAAGATGATGGGCGAGCCTTCCGCACCTTGAGCTCATCGACACTGGCGGTTTCACTCGCCGACAAAGATATGCTGGGTTTGTCTATCTACCTGTACGTCGCTGGAGAGATGTGTGACACCTGGTTAAACCGGTCAATCGGACATCGCGAGCGTATTCGATCGGCGTGGACTGCCGAGTTCTTCTTCAGGCACTGGAAGAAGTACCTCCTCAAAAGACAAGCTGAATCTCACAAGCTGATGAGTTTCTCTCAAAATTGTATATCACCTCAAAGCTTCAAGATATTTTCAACTCTTGCAACGTCCCTTCTCCAACTCATCATAGCTCATCGAGAGTTCTATCCGAACTGTCCTCTGCTTCCATGGAAACATGGCAGTGAACCCTGTGAGCATGGCTTTGGCTGGATGCGTGTGCTATCGCCGCAATTCACTGTGCTAGATGCTAGGATGATGATGCCTAAGTTACATCTTATTGTGAAAAATATCATGTCAGGAAAAATGAAAATACCGCCATCTGAACATATTCATTCCGGCTACCAATATGCATTCTGCGATGAACCCGACAGTGATAACCTCAAGATACTTACCAAATTCCCAACTGATATTGAGATATCAGAGGATCTGAAGACTGCATATGAACGAGCTAACCACCTTGTCACAATCTCTGGAATGGGTTCACTCACAAGTCTGATTTGTGACACTCCAGACGTAGATCTGGAGGAATCGTATGAAAACTCGCCTGAAAACTTGTCAGGTCTGCTCATTTGTTTCCTTTTACTTCTTTTTCACCCAAACCTTTGCTGAAATCTGACATTTTACGTTTAGATGTATCAGTCTGCGCCACTCAGCTCTATGATATAGAGTATAGATACAAAGTGGGTAGTTGTCCCGAAAAGGAAGTGCTTGAAGCAGCTGCAAACTTGACCAAGGAACAAAACGCTATCAACCTCTTTCTTGAAACCTTGCCCGAAGATTCTGAAAGTGAAAGCTTGAAAAACGCAGCTATGTGTATATCAAACCTCCTCAATCCAGCCCGTAAGCAAATCATCAATTCATACATCTATAGATTATTATATTCAACATAACTAATCCCTGTCTCTTTCTTTTTCTACTTGTAGCTGATCATCACCCAATCTTTGCCTCCAAGAGTGATGTAGCAATTGGGCCTTTAGTCATCAACAACGAGCTCATTGGTTCCACTCTCATAGCTATTTGAAAACACCACGACAGCGAGGTTGTCAAGCATAAGGGAAATGAGCGAAGTCTCATCCATCCTGATGAATTACATTTAGAATTGACGAAAACAACCAAGAGTGGTGGTTTAGATGCAAGTGCTTGCTCAAAGATCATCGCGGTTTGCTTTAAAAACCTGGAAGAAGTTCCAACTGGCAAAGCACGTCGACACCGATGGAATATCAATGTCAAGATGGATTTATCTGGAATTGTCAGAAATACAGCAACTTTTGGTCAAGCCCACTTGCAAGGGCTCCTTGACAGCGGCGAAATCAAGCGATCGAACCCTATCAAGCCCGGAAGCTTCATCATTGTGATCAAGAATCATGTAAGTTTCTCTCTTGACTTTGGTTGTAACAAGTCTGATGCATTTGTGATATGTAGACTTTGTATTTGGCACGAACACTGGTTGTCTATAAGCTTGTCAACAAAAAACACGCATTTGTGACAAGTGCAGACGCGAGGAAGGGTTTATTGCACATAGCTGCACAGATACTTTTCTACAACCCGGCTTATCCAGTCATAACACCGACCCAAGGCTTGGCATCAACTGATTTGACATATTCTCTCTTGGATGCTACCGATGTAGTATATGTATTTGAGCCTTCTGCTGGCTCAACATTTCTTGATTGTGGAGATGGTTGCTATTTGCTTCCAACAGTCATACGTGACATGCTTGGATCTGTGCATCTTGACAAGTTGATAGACTGTTATTATGATGAATTAGCACGATTGAAATCTCGGCCCCATGAGGGGGAGATCTCTGACTAATATTGAATGCTTATATATACAAAACTACAATAATTAATGACTACGGCTTAGCGTTAGCGGAAATCGCTGACCATGATATGAGCTTTATGTGATGAAACACAATTTTGCTAGCATACATATCTGGGACCCAAGAATGTTTCAAAGCCTTTTCCTTTTGTTTTCTCTGAGGTGGGTGACCAAAAAGTGGCTTTTTGGGGGCCAAAAATCTAAAAACCAGCGGATGTAACACTACGCCATATGACTAATATACCATGGAGTTTACAAAAGTCTTTTCATTTACAAAACTCAAATCATTTTCTGAACTCTAGGGATTAGAAACAAAAAATGAGATTTCAAAGTACTATCTTTTTATCAAACATAAGTCATATCTTGAATCACAGTATCATCTTGTAAGCTTATCTGTGTCTTGAAACACTGCTTGAGTTTTTTTTTCACATACATCATAAACTTCTACATCATAATCCCACAGAAGCACAACTAATTCAACTCATTTGAGGTTGTGGGGGTTTGTACATATATATTTATCTTTCAATTTCGATTGTGATGACATTTCCAGAATGACCTGTTAACATTAAATATACACGCACAAATTGTGGAAAGGACCAGGATTACACATTGAATTCCAACAACATACATGAATGAGTGAAAAAAAAGGATACAGTGTGTCAAACACATTGACAGCCAGTGTCATCAAGGCGAGAAAACCAATACTTTGAGGGAAAAGAACTAATCAAAAAACTTATAATCCTTCCAAAAAAAGGACAACCTCGTCCAAGACCGGGACTGGATCAATATCTAGCTGACCATAAAATAACGGGTCTTCGGATTTCACGCGTTGAAGCCACTCGGAGGAGTAACAGTCGATGGGTAACCCGTATGGTGCTGGGAGTGAGCTGAGAGGCGCGTTTGTTTGACGGATTCTTGGTCGGGAGGGGCGACCAGTCTTCTTTCCTGCTGAATTAGGTATGCTAGCCTTTCTTTGCTCCATGTACCCATCTAGTAGAATGCAAACATGACCCAACTTTTCACTACGCCATTCGAGATTTCGCACCAAGCAAGGTAGACCATGTCGATTTGGCCCTTCACTGGTTCCTTCACGGTCGGTCTCATCATCGCTGCAAGCATTTTCCATTATCACTGAAAGCTTGAACAGCTGAGCGGGTTTTGAGAAGATTGCTTTGTCTCTCATTTTCTTCAACTTCATTTCAAACAATACAAGAAACTAGATCAGTGATTTGTACAAAGCAATACGTATGATAGGTGAGAGATAAGACTGACTTTTTGAAGTCTACCAGCTTGTCGGACTCTGCTTTGTGACTTTTCTAGACGCTCTGGTTCCCATGATTGCAATCGATATCTATAATTGATTAAAATTGAGTGTTGAGGATAATTAATCAGTTCTGGATTTGCAGTTCAAAGCAAGACATTGATGAAACATTGATTCAAAAGCTTCACATACCGCTTTGATAATGATCGAGCATAGGTATCCAAACATTTGGTTATGAGAGTGTCATTTGCACCACCAGTAGCTACTCCATTGTACTCCCCACACTCAACTAACTTGTAGAATATTTTTGAAGCAACATTCCAGATCCACTTGTTTCCATTTGATGCGGCTGACTTTGAGAAATCCGGACGAAAGCTTGATAGACCTGCAGCTTCCAACATGCTCTTCATGATTTGAAGCTGTTGAGGTGTTGCATCCTTATGACCAGGTCCGTTCTCATAAGGGAAGCAAGGATCAGTTTCGTCGCGAGTTCCTGATGTGGAAGGGTCTTCTGGTACATTCGTTGTATCGTCTGTCGGATCGGGTAGCTTTGAGCCTTCTTTGATACCTAGCAGTGTGTCAACATGAAATCTGATGCGATCCTACAAAATCAAAAATGTGAACAATCAGACATTGATTATGTGATTTGACATTTGTGATGTATGAATAGAAAACCTACGGCAGTACGTCCTCCACGTCTTTTGCTGGGACTCGGAGTAGAATCACCATCGCCAAGTAGTCCACTCAACTTGTGTACAACTTTAGTCAATGCTTTCAATTCACTTTCGAGGTATTCAACCTTTTGGTTAGTCCGCAGCAAAAGTAAGTGAAGATTCTCGATATCTGGTGTTCTGCTCTCAGGCATAGCAGAGCTGATTTTGATATACAGAATCAAAGTGATAAAATTGAAATGGTAAAGTAAGTATTGAAGTATCTCCAACCTTGTTATACGAGAAAGAGACTTACCTTTCTTGTGGAACCTCTGATTCAGGGTTCTTAGGAGGAGGAGGGCCACTTTTTCGAGCTTTGACACAAGGCGAGGGGCGGCGGGAATGTGCCTGACTGAGATCGAGATCGGTATCGGATTGGTCTGTGTCGTCATTGTCTGGATTCCAGTCGGAAATTGAGGGTGAGGGATTTCTCGCTTTCGATTTTCCTTTATCCTTCTTTGATTTTGGTTCTGGTGAAGTAGAAGAGAGTATTGTAGGGTGTGGTCGAGGGTATAAAAGCCGGTTGTGCTCCCTGCTCGGAAGGATTGGGACTGAAGAGCCAGCTTCAGGTGTGATAGCGGCTGAGGTCTGTGTAGTCTGTGTACTTGATTCGGCTGAATATAATTGGATAGAAGGAGATCAGTATTGGATGACAAAATATGAAACAGAATGTAGGTTGAAACTTACTCCCTTGCTTAGGATGAAGATTGTGTGTTGCAGGTGTGAAGTCGAATGAGTGATGGTCCAGCTTGGAGCATACTGGAGGTTGACCAAACTGTTTTTGTGACACCAAAGGCAGCGTAACTGGAGCAAGAAAACTGTTTGATCAGTAACTGGAGCAATTCAAAGCTGTATCTGAATGATCCTTACTCAATTCGTGATAGCTGTTACAATTTTTTAAGAGCTGAATCCTGCTAAAACCATTAGTGTCTAATCCAACATCTTTTAGCATATCAACCAATTGTGAGTCGTTGAATTGTTCGAAGTTGATCTGATTGTTTGGAGGGTTGACAGTGGTTCGCACTGAATCATCGGAAGGTAAGTGTGTGGTCTTTTTGATCGTTGACTTCTTCCTAGATCGGACCAACTGGCTCAGAAGGCGTGGTTTCTTCTTGGTGACATGCTTGCCGAGGAGATCAAGAACTCTTTCACGGGTTGTTGTGGGACCGACTGATATTCCGAGTCTCTCAAGAACATCTTTCTCAGAGACTGGAATCGGCATAATGATCAGCAAGTCTGATCAATATTATACTCATCAATACTTTGAACGCTAGAGTTGAACATACCCGGCTCTGTTTCTGAATCACTGATTGTTTTGCGCTTGGCCGCTTTGGTACTGGACTGATTTTCAGCTTGGTGAGCAACGGTCTTTGTGGTATCGCGTCGTCGACTCCGGAGGACCCGGCTGCCTGCAGCAGGTTCCTGGGATGACATGGGCAGCTTTTGGTGATTAAACAAAGAATAAAAATAAAAGTATAGAAAGAGTGAGAGTGAGAGTCGTACAAAAAAAATTGAAAGTATATGCGAAAAAGTGGGTATTGGTAGTCTTGATGTGAGAACAAATGTGCGAACACACTTCCTTTTTAAGGGTTTGATTGTCGCATTCTGAACTATCGTGTGAGATGTTGCACTTCTGATATCATGAATCATTGGAATCAGGATATCCCCCAACCTTTGTTTGTGTCGCCACAGTGATTTCCGAATGGGAAAATAAAAGCGTGACTCATCCAGATTTGAAAGACGTGCTCTTGCACCTTTCATAATTTCTGTTATGACTGTCATCAGAAACTAAGCAACTTGGCCTTGATGAGATATACCAGTGATGGTGGGTTGTTTAGTCACATAACAACAGCCAATTGTTGTTAGGTAATTATTGTAAGATGATGACTTATGAGCAATGGCATTCCTTTATGCCGTATTCGATGCCAAACAGGGTATAGTCCCCAATGCTTGCTCACGTTGTGAACAAGGAACACAACACATCATGAGGTTGAATTAAGAGCGTGGTACACTGGAATTCCATCAAAAGCTTTTCCAATTGAATTCAATTGGTTCAATGAAGACTTTGAAAGGAACTACTTATCGAAAATGAATTGAAGACATTTGTTGGATTACATAAAAAACTGATATGAAGTACTCTCAATTGTTTGTCAAGAATCGGGGATGCAATCTGAAGTTCATGCAATTTATAAAAATCCCAAGTATAACAAGATAACTTTAGAGAAAAGAGATAACTTTGGAGATAACTTTAGAGAATATAAGAAACAAATTGTAATAGCACAACCATACAATAATACACTATTAAATTTGTAAATCTGAGACCGAAGTGTCATTGGTAGGTGAAGCATCATCTTGCTCCGCCGAATCAGATTCAGAATGAACATCATAATAATCTTCGAGGGACTTTCCAGGTCCTAATAACTCCCTCAGCGCTCGCGCTTGTCCCCTTATCAAGATGTCAGAGATTTCCAACTGGTGCTGTAGGTCAATTGCGTCTACTTGAAGATCATCAACTTTGCTTTTGAGAGTTGCAATGTTCTTCATTGCTTCATCTAGCTTGGAAGAATGTTGAGCAGTGGTTCCGGCTAGAATAAACAGGAGTCAGCTTGAAGAATTGGAATCTGCTACAGAAGTGAAAAACACATACCATTCGCTTGTTGTTGTTGGAGATCTCGGAAAAGATTTATGCTGGCCTTTTTCTCCATCTCTTCAAGCGAAGTTTCAAGATGGGCTAATCGTTGTTCTAAAGTTCGCACTGGATAGATGATTTAAAGAGAAATACAGTTGCTTAATAATAATATTGAACAACGTGATTGTGGGCTTACCTTTCTCTTCTCGTTGTTGCTCCTCTTTGAAGATATCAACTCCACTTTTCTTGTTCAAGGGAGAAAGATTTTCATTCAGGTTGATAGCTGGGATATCCCGGCCGATCACTGGACATATTTTTTAAGATTTCAGCTCAACATCTTGCAACAAAGGTAGAAGAATAAGAGAGAGAGACAGAATTACCTAGATTCCCCACCTCAAAGACTTCAGTATCGGAAAACTGAATAAGATCCATATCGTCTGAGACATGAGCTGGGTTCGATGCCTTGACGTTGGTGAATTCTTCTTGTGATTTTGATTCATTCCAGCCTTTGTGTCCTTGTGAGTGATGCGGATCGATGTTGAAAAACATGTTAACCGGGCTGGTTTCTCTTTTGATAGGAGAAAGTTTGGGCACACTCCGATTCGTTGAAGTCGGAATGCGTGAAGTGCCACTTTGATCATTTATATGAGACCCAAAGAGAGATTGTTTGAGCCCTTCGAGTCCTTTTTTTTCATCCTCATTGCTAAGACTTGAGATTGATGAAATTCGTGGTGAAGAAATGGACACGCCCTCGATTCGATTGGAAACAATCCGCTTTGACCGTTGACGAACAGTACTAGTGCTGTTTGCCGTCTTGGAGCGGCTTGAGGCCTGCTACAGAATATCAGAATCAATGAAAAAAGGTAACGATCAAAAGTTTGATGCTCACTTTCTTCTTTTTCAACGTCTTGGACGTGGACGTGCCCCAAACTTCACTTTCCGGCTTTGCTTCCATTCCTAAGTCAATCAACAAGTGTGATCAGGATGTATATACGGTATCTGACATAAAAAAGGGAAGTGACCAACCAAGTCCTATGCGTTTATGTGGATGAGAAAACTCCAAATCTTGAGATGCAGAGCGCTTGACTAACGGCTCTTTTTTCTCCAAAGACGTTGAGGTTATAGGAGAGGTAACTCGAAGATCTTCAAGAGTAGGATAGATGTTGATCATTGCAGAAGCAACCGCTGGGGAATCTGAGGTCGGATTGGGGAAAACTATCAAGAACGCGCATGAGCGTCCTCAGTATCTACGAATCATGAAATCACAACTATATGAGGAGATGAAAAAGGAGATGAAAATTCAAACTAACATTCAGGTTGTTTCTCTCGGACAATATTTGCTACCTCGCCTTTGCTGATATTTGATCTTATGGGAGTCATTGGATGATGAATGCGCAACCAGTCAAGCATAGTTTGTTTACCAACAGATGGGTTATTGGGGTCGAGAAAGGTTTCTAAAGTACCTCTAGCACTAGGTTCGGACATATTTATGATATGAGAAAGTGAAATTAGGATTCAAAGAAAAGAGATTTCCTGTTGGAAGACAAAGTATTTGAGCAGAAGAGATGGTCGAAAATAAATGTTGAGGATGTATTTATAAAGTAAGATGGAGAAAGAACCGGGCCGCTAGAGAGTTAACTTGATGTGAGGGAATGAATCCATCAAGATACGTTAGATACCTATCTTCATTCAAAGGAGAACTTTTTTGTATTCGGAGTTAAGTCGCGACCCCAATACTACTGTTGCACCGTGAGTTGTTCACGGCATCCTTTATGACTCAGAAGCCACAGACAAGGAGCCTTTTATGTTTTTAATTTATGATCGACTCATAAATTTCCATGAGTCAGTCCCACATTTCTCCTTTCGGCAATTACCTGAGGTACATGACAACCAAACAATGGTTCAGGGTCACATATCAGTATCTATGATGTTGTTGTTCAATGTGTTACTCGGACCAAATTTCCAATGTTTCAAACAATGGCAAACAAGTGATGGTAATCATTCACACGCGTATGCTTGCCATCCATCCAGGATGTATCAACAAAAAAGGGGGAGACATGATATATAGAAAGGCCTATGTTTTTCCTTAACCTGATGTTTCCTTTTCCATCAACTTATTCTTTGTTCGTTGGCTTGTTTAACTAAAGGCGTACGTTGTTCCTCAACGTTGATTTTTCCTTTTCCATTGACTTATTCTTTGTTCGTTGGCTTGTTTGACTATCATTTAGAATCATTTGTCTCAGTAGCCCTTCTCGCCTTTACCATCAAAGTCATTGTTGATTGAGAAGTCTCCGATCTAGTTGTTATTATATCCTTTGATCTTGTCCGGTGATTGATACAGTTCGAAGTGTGTTATGCTGTCTTCATTTTTCTACTTACACACATGCTGATCATTTGTTTGGAAATCTTCATGATCTTCGCTTTCATGGATATGTAGAACTTCAGACTCGCCGTCATGCCACCAAGAACACGTAACCCCTCTTCTGCCCATGGCTCGCCTCTCAGTCCACCTGGCGAAGGATCAAGACCTGGTCAAACCTCTCCTCTTGCATCGGCTCAACGTTTCCGACGTCCACCTCCAGAAGACCCAGTGGCTGCCAAGGTTCAATCTCTTTCGACAGAGGCGCGGATCTTCCTGACCTACGACTTTGACTCTATCAGCCACAAGCCTTTGAAACTACACTACTACAACATCATATACCTTTTCAATCCCGCTACCAAAAGTCGACCTGGTGACAAGAAAGATGCACTCAAGAAGGTCTTTATCGACGAAGTGCGCCCCCTCCTCAAACCATATCTCTTACCTCCTCCTTCTACGCCTATGGAGACGGATTCAGCAGACCTCGATTTTGACCCACTGAGCCGCAAAACTACTCGCCCAATGCTCGTGAAAGCCATTTTGAGCAAGTCGCCCAAAACCGATGTATCGCCCGGTGCCACTATCGATGATGTTCTAATTCTATACAAGCGTTACGTCGATCCTCACCTTAAACTTCCACCAAATGATCGCTTCACAAAAAGACCCCGGGCTGTCCCTATCAACAGACTCAAGAGTGAAAGTATGGAGGACCTTCTTCTTGCTTTGCGATACCTTGCGCCTCGAGTGTTTGTACGTTCCTTGGCCATGAACAAGAGCTGCCTTATGGACCTCTATATCAAGTTTGTCCACGACAAGACTCCTGATAGGCCCCTGATCCTTGGGTACCATTACACCCTTTTGGATCTATCACCATCGGATCTTGTTTCAGAGTCTATGGAAGAAGACGTTGTCGAAGGGGCAAAGTGTAAGATTCAGATTTCCTCATACGTCTTCTGGTAAATTTGCATTTAGTATTCTGCAGAAGAACTGACTGGATTCATGAACTTCTAAATCATTCATCAATTTATTTGTATCTGTAGAAAACAAAGAATGTCATATGATTCACACTCGTCAATCAATCACCGAATTCATCAGAAGTTTTTTAGTTTTCATGCGCTCATGTCATGACTATCCCAGATAGTTGAAGATTTCTTGTATTTTTAATCGTCCGTTTTTTGTGTTCACTCACACTGTTCCTCCACCCTTCTTAAATTCGGACTAGACCCTTGACTTCAAGGTGGACTTCAACGTACTCCTATTCAAGAGATTCACCCATCATATCTTTTTTTTATTGTCTGATCATATACATCAAAACCCCAAAAATAAATTTCTTTGATTTCTTTTTTTAAAAAGGTCTCATACCTTCAAACCCCCAAAAAAATTGTCTCTCCTTTGTATTATCATCCGTGAAATTGATCCTTGCCTGTTTGTTGTTCACCAATGCCTCCGCGACAACATCAAACCAGACAAGCCCATCGAGTTGTGTGTACATGTGTTGCTTACGAATGTTCTCAGCAACAATATCCCGACGCCAACGGAACCTACCACCCTGGGGTTGAGGTTTTGCCTGAGACACGTGCTGCTCACCAACGCGCCGATTTTCGAAACAGCTTACCAAAATCGCCTCGTACACCAGGTCACTCAAACGAATCATCAATTAATTTGGCTCAAGATAATCTGCTTTCACCCTTGAGACAATTACGTATAACCTCATCACCTTCTACTCCGCGCAATGATCAACATGTAGATGATGAACTTACTCACGGAAGATCATCAATACATCATTCAAGTCAACCAGATGAAGAAACTTCAAGTCAAGCGGCCGAGGTAGAGTCACCAACAATCCCTGCAACCGATTCTCTTCCCAAATCTCAGAAGTCAACCAAAACATGCTCTGAGGCAGCCTTAGCAAAATCTTCAGGTCAAACGGTGTTTGATTGTGGTCAGTATCTTTTCAGTATATCCTGTCAGTTGACTTTCTCATGATCGACTGTACTGATTTGTTACATGATCACTTTTTACTCTTTCTAGATCGTTTTCATGGATCCGACTTAAAATCGGCGAATCCACTCATTCTTCATACTGCTCTCACAGCTTCCATTCTCGACATATTTGGACAGTCCTCAAATTCAATCACGAAATGGTTCCTTGATATCCAGATCATCACGATTGAGCTGTCTACAACATATGGAATCTTACCTACGAAGTCATCGATCCGGCAGATTCTTCCTGAAGAAGCTGCCACTCTCAAGAAAATCCCTAGTTCAGCTACAACAACCTTCCGATGGTTAAAGCTTGATCCAGTCCTACAATACCTGAACTGCTGCTCCTCGTGCTTTGCGATGTACCCCGAGAATAGCGCACCGCCTCAATGTCATCATCGTATTGCAAATATCCCGGGTGGACCTTCTGATTCCGTTGATCCAAACAACGACGCCGGTTCTCCTCCATCAGAAGACAACGACCCAGAATTTTCAGACTCAATATGTGGCGAGCCTCTATTCAAATATGTTCGTGGTGTACAGAAGCCTGCTCGCCGTTATGCATTCCAGAGCCTCTCAGATTGGATTTCACGTCTCCTCTCTCGACCTGTAATTGAAAAAGAGCTAGAGGTTTCAGCATCAGAATCCTCAAAACCGTTCGATCCAACCGCCAATATTCACGATATCTATCAGTCTCGACTATGGAAGGAGTTTCGTGGTCCAGATGGGAGCCAGTTTACTAGTAATAGCAGTAACTTAACCTTCGCTCTTTTTGTTGATGCAATTAACCCATTTGGTAATAAACAAAGTGGGCATCACACTTCCATCACATTCGTAATCCTTGTTTGTCTAAGTCTCCCTCCCAATCTTCGACATCAACCCGAGAACGTCTTTGTAGTGGGGATCGCTCCCGGACCTCGCGAACCCTCCCTCGAGCAAATGAATTGGATCTTACGACCACTTGTCACCGAACTTCAAGTCTTATGGTCAACAGGATTACTCATCTCTCAAACTCACGAGTACCAGGATGGCCGCCTTATCAGAGCAGCGCTGTTAGTTTTTGTTGCAGATATTCCATCTCTTCGTCGCTGCCTTGGATTTCCCAGCGCTACTGCGACTTTTTTCTGCTCTTTCTGTCTCCTCAAGAAAAGCGAAATCAACAACTTTGATCAAGACTCATGGGAACCTCGTACGTGGTGTCAACATCACAAATGGGCATGTGAGGCCCGTGATGCTAAGACAGTGAAAGAACGCAAGAAGATATTCAAAACACACGGAGTGCGCTACTCAGTGCTTATTGAACTTGATTATTGGAACATCATCGATTATCATGTTGTAGATTCAATGCACAACTTACTTTTAGGTCTATCTTCTTGGCATGTTCGACGTTTTTGGGCGATGAAGGATCTTCAAAATGACGAAGAGAAGCTACCACCAATTAGTACTGTCGAGCTTCTGAAGCTCGTTGCTGAGCATTCAGAACCTTTACCTCATCGTCCCAATTCACCCGCACTTGATTCTGAAAGAGACCCCGAAGGACTGGATCAAAATATTAACGATGTCGAGTTTTCAAATGATACCTCGTCAAACGATCAAGAGTTCAATCCGTTCGATGACGCTGGATGGAAGGGAGAGTGGAATCCTCCACCCCTTGAGGAGATCATCTTCGATGCTGACGTCCTTCGTCACATCAACTCTATACTTCCAAAGATTCACACTCCAACTTGGATCAAACGTCCCATTCCTGTTCTAGGGAAAGCATCGTTTGGGAAGCTGAAAGCAGACGAATGGAGAAGCTTGATCACCTTGCAGCTTCCATTGGTCTTGATCCCAATGTGGTCGGGCAAAGATCATATTAAAACATCACTCCTCAAGAATTTCATACACTTAGTCTCAGTTGTGAACTTAGGACTCAAACGTGTCATCAACTCTACTCACATCGAACGTTACCGCTATCACATTCGGAAATATTTAGAAGGTTCTGTTTTACTTTTTCAGCACTGCAAGCTTGCTCCGAATCATCATATTTCTGTTCACCTTGCCGATTGCCTTGAAAAATTCGGACCAGTACGCGCATGGTGGTCATTCCCCTACGAGCGGTTAATGGGAAAGATCCTCAAGGCAGAACACAACAATCATATAAGTAAGCAAGCTTGAATTCATTGTTCCTTTTTCAGAATCGAGCTTCACTGACCACTCTGTCTCTACATATTCAACAGCCGAGCTTGAAATAACGTTTCTGAATAAATTTTGCCGTGCATCAAACCTTTTAGCTTTGATTGAAGATGATAAACTTCCTGAGACTCTAAAACCATATACTTCACGACTTCAAGCCCTATATAACCCACCCTTGCGAAGGCCACGTCGACCCTCAAACTCGAAGCTTTCCGCTCTTTCAAATGATGTCCTCAACCTACTCGTTGATTATCTGAACAACACAAAGAACGAACCATGTGTATGGCGTCGCCCAGATGATTGGGCCCTACTGAGCAAGAGTGACTCAATGGGTTACTCTCCTGTAGCCGCTCGTGCTCAATTCTATAAACAGGTCGAACACACCGACGGATTGATTTCTACTTTCACTCAAAATCCAGATAATTGCTGTATCTATTTCAAGGACTCAAAAGGTTCTGATTGCTTTGCTCGAGTATATTCAATATTTAACCATAGTAGGACTTCTCTACCATCTGGAATTTCTACTGATATATGGCTCCATGTACAATGCTTCCCCCGTTTACCACCCATACACCATAATCCTTTCGGCTTAACTGACCAGTCAGAAGTACAATGTGCATTGAGATTGTGGACTCCTACCGAGCAGAAATTAATCAAGCTAAATGAGGTAATTGCACAGTGTGTATGGATCATGTTCAAACCAGGGGAGATTAATCAGAATGTGAATGTATCTACAATAGGCTTAATTATCTTAAAACGCTGATTGTAAATACTCTTCTGAATTCGAGCTATCTCATTTTTTATCTTTATGAATTGAATCAACACTTTGGAATGGATTTGGTTTTGACTGAATGTAAGATGTACCATTCATCAAGTTCTCAGCATCTCTAGAAATTTGAAGTACGTGCATATAAAGGAAAGTGTAAGATTAAAAAAACGTCATTGCACCACCTGCTAGTGAGAGCCACTATATTAAATTGTCAAGGTAAATTATTCAAGCCTGTTACATCCGGTACCAGTTGCCCAGCATCTATGTCATATTGAATGGATGGCTTGTCATTGAACATGAATTAGCACGCTGATGTCTGTTTTGTGATCATAAGAGTTCAGAAAACGTTTTGAATTTTTCAAATCCAAAGACTTTTGTAAACTCCATGGTATATTAGTCATATGGCGTAGTGTTAATGGGAGTTGAAGACAGGAGGGGGGTATTGAAATGTGGACTTGTCCGTTTTCAGAAAAAAAAGGAGAATGGCCTGATTTTGGCTCAAATAAGTAGCCTATTAAAAAAATAAGGAGCTCTTGGGCTCTTTATTTTAAGTAGCAAAATAAGCTACTTATCAGTACCAAAGGACCTTTGGAAAGTTTGAGAATTTCCGTTCCAAACGGACTTTTCAAAATCTGACTGCGGATTTGATTGGTTTTGAGGTTGTTGACCATTGTAAAAGTTGGAGTACATTGTTATATATACTTTGAGATGATTCTGGGATTGCTGTTCCCCTTTTTTCCTTATCATTTACGCCGTTATTATTTTGTTTATCATTATAAACTTATTTTAATAGTACCTGGTCACTTAAATACGCCCTTTATTAGAGCTATAAAGAGAAATTTACTTTAGTTTTATAGTCAAAAAGACTTATTGGGAGTAATATCACAAAGATGTTGCTTATTTTCTTCAGTTATCATTTGGGAATAACACTATAGCAGTGTTGATAGTAATAAACATTGTGCTTTGAAGTTAAAAATATGTGTGAAGATATATTTCTCTGGTGCCTTATCTGTACTCAATACAACAGTGTCTTTTCCTGATTGTTTTGTTTTAGAAGAGCAGTCTCAGACAACTTCTACTAGTCATTTTATTAGTAGATTATCCTCTTCCAGCTCTGTTTAACCCTTGTTGGGTTATAAGTTCTACAACGGCAGGGACATCCTGCAGGGATGTACCAAGTAAAATGCATCTCTGGTATGTGGATACATTTTCCATTGACACAGACACATCACATTAGGTCTTACAATAAAATGTGAATAAAATTGCCCCCTTTTCTTCCTCACATATTTAGAGTAAGAATTCACAACAATTGCACTACAAAAATCAAAATATGTGAGACACTCATAGATATTCCCAAGTTGAGAGTGGAGCAACCTGGAATGCATATATCAAAGCAGGTAGGGGTGTTGATGAATTCTGCTCCTGTGACTAAATTGTTATAACTCGGATTGTGTAACACCTGTGAAAGATCACATATCAGATGTCACACTTTAGATTAGCACACTTGAGACCGCGCACGCTTGTACTTGCTCTTTTCCCCATCTGACAATCTAAATACCAAACCGGATTGCCCAGCCTCTTCCCTCGTCGCCAGAACCCCGTGACCAGGTCATAACATATTGTCAGATCTCTACTGACGATCGAAGAGGTATCTAGAACCGAACAAATCAAACCCCGAACGAATTATCAGCGAATCGATCAGAACTTAGATTATAATTGATACAGACCAACCTTAATTAACCTGCACAGAAGATCCAAGATTAGATTTCGAGTTAGGACTCGCGAACTCACCAGAAGAAGAAACCTTAACTTAAACATTCAGATCGACACTCACACACTCTAAAACATAAGCCAACACGTCTCCTACATTCAATACCCCGCAACTAGACGAAGAAGAATCGGACGATTCTAGTTTTTTCACTCCGACTCAACGTTCTGCCTCATCTCATACCCGCGCACCCACAGATATGGAGGTTACCACTGCCCAGATGGAGGAGATGCAACGTCAATTGAACGAACTTGCGAAGTCGCTAGCTGAGGAAAAACGCTTACGTGCTCAGGCCGAGAGCGAAATTAGCTCAATGCGGAGTACTCAAGCTCAACATCAGACTCCACCCGCTCCTGTAACGAGTCAAGCCCTAGCAGCACAACCTGAGATAGCGAACGCACCTAAAGGTCCCAAGGTTGCGACGCCTGACAAGTTCGCCGGCGCTAGAGGTAACCAAGCTGAGGTCTTTGCCAGCCAGGTGCAACTCTACATGATGGCACACCCGTATTTATTTCCGGACGATCATAGCAAAGTGGTATTTTCACTTTCTTACTTGACTGGCACTGCCAGCGCGTGGGCTCAGCCGCTCGCTAAGGAGCTATTCGATCCTAAAACGCGACACCTTGTCACTTTTGACCGATTTGTCAAGAATTTCGAAGCAATGTTCTTCGACACCGAGAAGAAATCGAAGGCTGAGAAGGCTATCCGAAGTCTGACTCAGAAAGGCTCGGTAGCAAACTACACTCACGAATTCAACTTGCACGCCGCGAACACCGGTTGGGAAGTTCCAACTCTGATCAGCCAATTCGAACAGGGCCTCAAGAGGGACATCCGTGTTGCCATGGTCCTTGTTCAAGACGGCTTTGAATCAGTCGAACAAATAGCTAACCTCGCTATCAAACTGGACAACAAACTTCACGGCGTGCCAGAAGCCTCGTCCGCGACCTATACCCCGGCTGCTGATCCTAATGCCATGGATATATCAGCATCTTACACCCGACTGTCTGACGATGAACGCAACCGACGCCTCAGGACTGGGTCGTGCTTCAAATGCGGAGTTCAGGGTCATCGGTCTAACGCCTGTCCAGACCGTCAAAAGGATCAATTTACGGGAGGCGGCAAGGGGAGAGGTACATATCATAAACGCATAGCTGAGTTAGAAGTCAAATTAGCGGCCATGAGTAGTAGAAATGATACGCGGAATGATCAAGGGGAAGGCAGTAGTAGAGCAGACCTTGCAAAAAATGGAGGCGCTCAGGACTGACTGTTGTGCCTATCCTGAGCAGAGGGGATATAAAGAGTGATATTAAAGTTGGTGCTAGTGAAGTGTTTAGATGCAATGAATTTGATCCACGTTTATTTGTCAAAACCTCGCTGTCCACGCTCCCCAATCCCCATGCCACAACCATTGAGACACCCCCTTCACTGTTCCTGATTGACTCAGGGGCAACCCACGACGTCATTGGAACGGCGTTTGCCATCAGAGAAGGATTACTGAACCACGCCACCGACAGCACCAGGAGTGTTACCGGCTTTGACGGCTCTGTAAGCCAATCATCGCACAAAATTGAGATGTTTATTGGCCGAGACTCGACCCCCACACCATTCATCATTACACGACTCAAAGACTCTTACGACGGTATACTGGGTATACCATGGATTCGACGCAACAATCACCTTATTGATTGGAAGAAAGGTACTGTTAACCTCAATAACACCGACATCGCGGCCATGACAAAGGTCTCGTCAAGTCTGACAACACCTCCACTTCGTCCCGAACTGGAACTTTTGGAGGACGCTAAGAAACTTGACGAGGGGATGGGTATCAACACCGATACATTACCATCCCCGCAATGTGCGTATGAAACTCTCTCTAAATCACCCTTATGTCGAGCAACTAGCAAGCGTGATCTTTTCGCAGAACCACTGCCTCACAAGAGTGAACCAGACCCGAACATGATCACCATCGGACACCACAGTCCAGACTCCACTGCGACTGCTACGTCAGTCTCGTCCATTCCGCCACACACCCCAAACGGTCCACATGAGGAGCCCAAGGGGCATGCTAGGATAAGAGACGAGGGGGCTTGTGTTTTAACAAACACATCACAGCCCCCGCAATGTGAGTTCGACATTAATTTCCCATCTCCACCTATTGAATCAGCTGGCAAGCGTGAATCCTTCCTAGAACTGCAGCGCACCAGGCCTATACACAACCTCGAGACACCGCCGACTGAATGCATACATGAAGAGAAAGAACACACCAACGCCAACGTGCATCAAGGAACCATTGCGACTGTTCCACCAGTCTCGTCCATTCCGCCACACAACCCCAAAGGTCCACAGGAGGAGCCCCAGGGGCACGCTAGGATACGTGACGAGGGGGCTTGTGTTTTAATCGACACATCACAGCCCCCGCAATGTGAGTTTGTTACCGTTCCTGACCCCATCCCTATTGAATCAGCTGGCCAGCCCTTTCCTCTCTTGAATACTAGTGCGATTTCTACGGATGCGGCGCAAGCTTCTTGGTCCACGTCAGCAAAACTAGCAGCTGAAGAAAAGAAGGACGCACCGGTCAGAACAGTGGAAGAGATAGTCCCCTCAGTTTATCATCGACACCTGCACTTATTTAGGAAATCCAACGCTCAGTGCTTGCCACCACGACGACGATATGATTTCAGAGTGGATCTAGTACCAGGCGCGCAGCCTCAAGCGAGTCGTATCATACCACTATCACCGGCGGAAAACGCAGCACTAGACGACATGATCAATACTGG